AAAGTGACTGAGAGTCTCATCATCTACAAACGATGGATCTGGTATGTATGGAGCGTTAGGTGAGGTCAGGAAAGGGGTCCTCGCGGACAGGACTTGGTCCCGGTACATCATCGATGACTTACACTTGAGGTCTCCCGGACATGGTCCTAGTTAGACAACTCGTTAGACAGTCCGGAAAAATCAGTGACTTAAGTCTAGAGGACAGTTCTCAGACTGGTAGTTGTGGAACAGTTCGTCTTCCCTATTTGTGGTAGACCCCACTTTATTTGACAACTGTGTAATCTTCACGACAACAATCTATTTCTAGTCCATTCTCTACCACTGGCCGGGTCGTCTGTCCACTCGGTCGTCGTCATGACCAGGATACTCAGGGTAGTACAATTTGAACACACAGGAGACAGGAGACAGGAGGGAGTAGACGTCAGTGTGTATTCATTCCTCCCGCCTCTACAGACTCAAACGTTGAACTAACTGAGGAGGAGTGTCCCAAACATTTTTTAGTTAGTTGTAGAGGTTCGACGTGACAAGTCTGAAAAGAGACTTTGGATCAAAGTGCAAAACATCTTACAGATAGTCATAACCGCCAATTGTTAGTTTTTGTTTACATAAGATTATTATGTGTCTACTAAATACAAACTAGGGGCTAAAACTGTTCAATATGTGTTTAATTAAGTTTGGACACTTTAGGTATTAATAGACAATAGTATAAATGGGACATTGGTTTTAATATATAATTATTATACATATAAATATATATACCGTATATTATTACATATTATATGATTATATACTCATATATATATAATCTTAGCAAGTAACAACATAGTTACGAGACAAAGTGTGTTCAGTGAAACTAGTATTACCTTCGTTGTAAATGATTATTATTATTTATTAGATGTTAAAACAAGGACTAGTGGTTATATTTCATTCCAAATCCTTTACACGAAGATAATATCCAGAGTTGGTAAAGTGGAAAGATTATTAGAGCAGTGTGGGTCGGATCGAGACACAGGACTACGTTATAACCAAAGACGAAAAAAGAGAAGAAGTATAAATACATTAAAAACCGAAAATAAATATTTATATGTGTATCACCAATAAATTTCATTTTTATCATTCTGATAGTTCTTCCCTGATAGACCACTAATTTACCTTTATGTATCTTTAGACTACAACCTATGTAGGTTCACAAAAACGTTACACCACTCCTTTTTGGTCTTCACATCTAGCTGTAACGAAACACCATCATCCCTCCAAAAACACGTCGACGAGTTTGGACAGAAATTCAGTGGCACACAGTCTCTGTCGTGTCTCATTCTGTCGTCTCAAGAGGGACGACGGTCCGACTGGGACTGGAGCTCCATTGACTCACGAAACGACCCTTTGTAGAAAGTCAGTAACCACTTCACGCCGTAAAAACTTTTCCCTTTCGGACGGTATTCATCCTCTTCAAAGACGGACACATGTAGGTGGGTTTGGGTGTTAGGTCTCGGGAACAAAGGACCAGAGACACGACTAGGGGTCACTTAGATTTAACGAACAGTACATATTGGGTCTATACTATGTACTGTGAAGTGACAGGGGAGTGTCCAGAAACGGTTGGAACTCTCCTCCTTGACGAGTCAAACTTCAGAGTGAGGTCTGAGGACATTCATTTAGTAAAAACCGGTTAATTAGGTTGTAAAAATTGGTTTATTATTTTTTTCTTCATTTAGGCCTTCTTATCTAAAGAGTGGTACTATCATTGATTTTTATTATTTGGGTCTATTAACAGGAAAGGTTAATAACCTCGTCTGTGACAGTACAAAGACTAGACTACAGTCTTTGTATATTGTCTGAGGAGACCACAAGACGTTGTTCAGCGACCTACCAGCACAAAATTTCTCTCCTTTCTCAAACGTAGCTCTGGAGGGAGATTGTCTAAGTTTTTCCTGTACCACTGTAGTTGTAAAGGTATTTCCTTCTCATAGAGAAATGCTGCACGGACGTAAATGTAAGTATGCAAGTGAATGTAAAGGATAGTTAAAATAAAGGACCTAAGTTACTTTTGTTTTTTTTTCCTTTTTAATCAAAACAAATACAAGACGGTTACTGTAGGACAAAGAAGTCACCATCTTCGCGATGACAATAGAGCCAATTAAGGTCATCTTAGTTTGTCCTTTTTTATACAAGACATAAAAAGATTCCGTTACGTTATCTATTAAATCATTTTCACAATTTGCATTAGTACTATACAAAACGTAAACCACCGTTTTACTCGAAGGGGAGAGTTCAGGAAAAAAGACTAGAACCGACAACGTCACCTTCAATTTTATTACTAAAGGGTCTGTAAATCTCCTTAACAATTTCTTGAATAGACTTCTCAGCTCCACACAATAGTAACGTGGAAGTGGTAAATTATGAGACTTCACCAACTCAGTGTACCAACGACTCATAAAACACGTCCAGACGAACCACAAACCACAGTTGACACCCGTCTGCCATGTGTCATTACTGTGTTCGAACACCAGACCCTCCGAGCGTTGTGAGCAGGACAATCTCGGTGACAAGGTCGTCTTCTCAGAGACGACCATCGACTTGAACCAAGAAGTCTATAACAAAACTTTTCTCCATGGAAGTGGGGTGTCACCTTTAGTCAGGTAAATCAAAAGGGAAGTGTGACAGACTAGGTTGGACAAACGTATCGACGTATTAGTCGTCTCTTAGGTCTCTGGCACTTTTCCACTACCAAGGTTTCCAACAGGTCCGCGTGTTTAGGTAACTCCAGACCGACCTACTCTAGTTATGCAAGGTTGGTGGACACCTTTATGTTGTTGTAATAGAGGGTAGTTAGTAGACATGGTGAGTCACAAGGGACTACACAAATAATCACCTCTTAGGTGACTTTAGGTGACTTTCGAGGGTGCCTAGGTCGACGGTCGTCGTCATAGTCGACGTCTCTGTACAACTACACTTCGACTGACTACAGTCCTTAAGTCGACTGAATTCAAGTTACATTTAAAGGTTCTACTTCTTTACAAGTTCCACCCAAAATTTAGTGTATCAAAAAATTCAACTGTTTGTGTAAAATCTAATCTTTGTATATTTTTGTTTGAAAAATATCAAAAGTAGTTTTATTTGTAGTGGTTACTTCAAACCTAATTTTTTATTACTAAGAAAGGTTAGGGTCCATCCTTGTGACTTATTTCAACAGAAATGTATCGAAAAACTATTAATAAATTATCCTTGACCAGAAAAACTCCAGGGGAAGATGATATCTTTCCTTAAGATGATAAATAGTCTGTGAAACTTTTGTTTACATAACAGGATGATAGGAGAAATCTACAATATGATGTTACTTATTATTCACTGTCACTCACATTACAGTCTAATTAAAATTTAACCACTTTTGGGAAAGACAACTTAATTCTTATAAAGATCTGGTAGAATCATGAGAAAGGGAGACTTGACATTGTCACTCGACCACAACTCTAGTAAAGACCCAGACTCCCGAGGAGGAGACCACAGAAGTACAATTGTATCACCAAAGTCCGAGACTCCCAAAAACAAGTCGACCGGTTCACCATCTCCAGAGACAACAACAGACAGCAGCTGTATCTGCAGATGAACAGTCTGACGGCTTTAGACTCTGCTGTTTATTACTGTGCTCGAGACACACAGTGACTGAAGCTGGTTGAGCAGCTGTACAAAAACCTTCAGTCCTCATCCTTGATGTGTTGATAGAGTACAAAGAGAATTCTACGTTGACTAAATCATTCGTTGTCGAAGTTTTTATGAAAAGGAAAAAACAGTTGCTACTGAGCCAAGTTATAAAACACATTAATAAATGAAAATGTCTTTAAAAAAATGATTGCCTCATAAGACAGGCAAGGACTGAATAAACATATTGTAAATATATTTCATGTATGGGCAAAAAATAAACACTAAATGTAGAAATGTCAGTCACATTACTCACACAAGCACCAACAGGTGGCAGTAGAGGATAAAAAGACAGGTGACAATAACGGGAATATGACAATGTCTCTAAACGTATACTATGAAAGTCTTGAGGCTTTCCTTCAACAATAATATCCCATTATTAATTTCTTAACAGCAGGTATCAATCATATATGTATGCATGATGTTTCCAGTATGTGGATGGGCAACCAATGTTGTGCAAAGCAGAATAAATGATTACATCTTATTTAGGTTTAAATAAAAGGAACTGACAAATAATTTGAAATTCAACCTTATAATTTAAGGATATAAGCATTCAATCATAGTATGCAAAAAGGAAATCTACATCATATATATTCAGGGGATGTGCTGTGTTTCTGTTTGAGGAGGAGGAGTCAATGCAAACTCTGACCTCTTCCATCTCTACATATGTGTTGCAGAGTGAAGGACAGACACTAAATCACTGACATACACACTGTAGACTGGACAGAGACAACTGGCTTTCACAATGATCAGACCTGATTATCTAGTGGTTTTTCTCATCCTGTCAATTTACTCTGCAGGTAAGAACAAAACCTGTTTTTCTGACAGAGCTCCTGGTACAAAGACAATATGGCTGCTTTACAGAAATTGTTTACATGTCTGTAGGTACTGAGGGTCAAACACTGACTGAGTCTGAACCAGCGGTTAAAAAGCCTGGAGAGTCCCACAGACTGACCTGCACATATTCAGGGTTTAGTAGTAATATTGATACTGCTTGGATCAGACAAGCTGCTGGAAAAGGACTGGAGTGGGTTGCTACTATCAGTGATAGCAGTAGCAGCATCTACTACTCTGAGTCAGTGAAAGGCAGGTTCACCATCTCCAGAGACAACAACAGACAGCAGGTGTATCTGCTGTATCTGCAGATGAACAGTCTGAAGGCCGAGGACACAGCAGTGTATTACTGTGCCAGAGACACACAGTGAGAGACAGTAACAGGAGAGTCGTACAAAAACGACTTCCTCTATTTACCACCACCCATGAGAGCATTCACTTTAAATTGAAATACTGAATATTGACATTCTATTTTATATCATTTGACACAATGTTTAATTCAGTTGCAAGCTAAACAAATATAGTGAATTCAAACGGAAAAATATGTAAAATTGTTTCTTTTGTGCCTCCAACAACATATATCACAGATAATATAAAAATGTCCCATTTCAAACAAAGCAGCTGTTTATCTGATTCAGTATGGTTAAACTGTGCCCTTGTATCTCTAAAAGAACATTAAAGAAAGCACACTTTGATTACATTAAGCATTGAACAACATCTATTTGATTTGCCGATTGTACACCAATCGTCACTATATCATAAACATTATCATCAGGAAAGCTTCATCTGTTTGAATTTGAAACATTACTGTAACACAACCACAACCAAATGAAGCAAATTCTATATTTAACACTGGAGACAAACAACTGATTCCAGTCAGCTAACTGGCTAACTTTAATCCACCGTAAACACATTGGAGAAGTTGATTCAATAAAATATATATATTAACAATGTTTCCCTTAAAGAAGCAGCTCTGATAATCTAATCTCTAACCCAAATTCAATCAAATACACCCGAGATTAATCGTTAGTTAATTAATTGAGTTTATTGTCGTATTGGATGTAGGCCTAGCGGTGTCCCTCTTGCAATCAAAATTATTATAATTTACATGAAGTCTATTTTTTTCGCTTTATAAATGGCCTTGCAAAATGATACTGAAAAACACACACACACTTAGTTAGAGGAGGAGTCAATGCAAAACTCAGATATCTCTCCCTCTACTTATGTGACTACAGAGAGGAGGACAGAGGACAGAGGACACACAGTTTAACATGATGGACTATAGGACAGGACTGCTGCTGCTCACTGTCTGCTGGGCAGGTCAACATCTTTACTGATCTTTATCCAACACAGCTTCTAATTGTGTCAACAGCTTATTTCACCAGATGTGTTTTTACCCTCTTGACAGGTGTTGATGGTCAGATTCTGACAGAATCTGATTCAGTGACTAAAAGGCCTGGAGAATCTCACAGATTGACCTGTACTACTTCTGGATTCACATTAAATAGCTACTGGATGCACTGGGTCAGACAGGCTCCTGGAAAAGGACTGGAGTGGATCGCTGCAATCAATGGTGGCTCCGTTTACTACTCTGAGTCAGTGAAAGGCCGGTTCACCGGCTCCAGCAACAACATACAGCAGGTGTATCTGCAGATGAGCAGTCTGACGGCTGTAGACTCTGCTGTTTATTACTGTGCTCGAGCACACAGTGACTGAAGCTGGTTGAGCAGCTGTACAAAAACCCCTCATTATTACCACACTTTTCTCACACTGTTAATGTGAGATTTGGAGTCTTTCCAATATCATGACAACGGTAGTTACACCAAACACTGTACGATTAGAAAAATATTCCTTAACAGTTAGCAATGAAATCACCAAATAGTTATAATTTTTTATTGCAGAAAAGAGCCTTATCAAAAGTTCTCCTTAGAAGACAGCAGCTGAAACATAAAAAGCATTTATGTGCTAACATTTAGAAAATGGTCTAATCTGAGATTACGTCTTTTAACTTATTTAGTTTGCATTTTTCATGCACTGCAGAAATGTGTTTTTGCACATTGTCAAATAGGTTTCAGTTCCTTAGTAGTTTAAGGCATCACGTTTCTCTGTATCTGTCCTCAAATTGCCACTATTTGAATACTGAAACCTTTTGAGGTAAGAAAATAAACACAAGTAAACATTTAGACCATCATGCTTTCCTTCATTGCAGCTACAAAATAAAAAAAATAAAAACATATCGTTCAACCAATTTCTGAATTAGATTTGAATTGTTAAAACTAAAACAATGATTAGAAGTAAAGCTTTTATGTTACTCATATGAGTTATAGTCAAATTCAAGAAAGAAAAAAAACTATCTTTCGTTGAAAAATTAAAATGATAGTTTTTCAATCAACAGTTCATTTTTGTCAACAATTGCCTCAACCCATAAGAACCCGGACCCAGTTCTACTTTTTGGAAAATTAAGGGGAATATAATTTAGACTAAATAGACCACATAGAACACATTTCTGACAAGTAACCCCCCCTAGTGTCAAATATCTGAAATGTGACATATATGTCACATTGGGCTTTAATGGTAAAGTAACTGTTATTTATAACTTAATTAATGAGGATGATTTTTTGATTTAAATTAGTTTAAACATTCTTTGAATTGAAGAATAAAGAATATATTAACTAAATATAATTGAATCAGCTAAATTAACTGAGCAGATCCTAATCATATTTCTAATTGTGCATATATATCACTTTGGGTTTACTGTGAAAGTTTAGGGTTAAAGTCCCGATGTGACATCAGTGTCACAGCGATGTTTGTCTCATTTGTTTCATATCAATTTGATCAAGAAATGTTTCCACAACAGGTTAAATGTAATAAAGGACATGTTGTGTAAGCATTTACATTCTTAAATGGCTTGACTTGTACCTTTAGCAACAACAACAACAAAAAGCTTTTGAAATGTAGCTAGTTGTGTCAAATGTGTTAGTCTGGCACATGGACATCTTGGACATGTTGTTATGGGAACACAAAATCAAATGACCCACCAGACTGTTCAGTGTGTGTCACTTAGGGACTTCATGAGATCAAATAAAGGCTAAAGCTGTATAAGGAACATTTAAATGAAAGATTTAAGCAACTGCAAAAACATAATAATGGTCTTTAGAGGAGGTGAGTAATTAGTCACTTTTAACAATTAATACAATCTGAAAACGTATTGGTTGCTTATCAAAATGTTGATGATAACATATGGGGTTACATAATAATATATAGTTTAAAAGCTTTTATGTATAGAATATAACATTATTGATGTTCTCTTCCGATCTTAATGATTAAGTTATATTGAAGCACTTTTCATAGTGACAGTTTTAATACTTTTTAAAGCTTTATCAACCAGCTTTAGACATTTTAGTAACCAATGAATTAGTTACAGTACTTGACAGTATAAATGACTACATTTTGCAAACATTATTGGTCTAGTTAATGTTTTGTTTGTTGGTCTTAAATGAACTGACTCGTGCTCTGTGCTAAAGTCTTAGCCATCTTTCATCAACAGGTCTTGTTCAGGTCTTTTACCTTATATGTGGATTTACACATAGATCACAACTATGTAGCGACACCTTGTGGTAGGAGTGTGTATCTATCTAATCAACACATCCCCCTTTCTTTGAGGTAATAATAAACAATTCGGAGCTCGAGTCAGTTCATTAATAGATCAACAAACAAAACAGTTAATAACAAATAAATGTTCAGAATGTTGTGTCTTTTAAGATAGTGGTTTAGATTGTAGCAGCCTTAATCATGTATTTTATATTTTCAACAGGCAATGCAAGGCATCTATACATTAGTTTATAATCGACCATATTCACATAATAAAACATTGTGATTGTTTGCATTTAACTATACCTTGTTTAATAGTTTTTTTCTTAAACTCATAATTCTTAATCTCTAATGAAGCTAGCCTTTAAAATAACAAGAGCTGTCCCTCTCTAACAGTTAACCCCATTTAGAAATCAGCAAACCTTACCTGTAAGTCATTATCTCCACATCCAAAGCCATCTTCACATTCAACAGGTCCTGGTACTCCCGCAGGTAACCAGACATGTCAAATTTGCAATTTATGAGCTCATTTTCAAGTTCTTTGATTGTGTTCTGAAACAGGAGAGAAAGAAAGTGTGTTACTGGACCCTATTTAGACAATTTTCTTTATTAAACTATGCTTTTACAAAGTGATTCTCACCTGGTAATGAATCATTTCTTCCTGGTGGCGATCCTCCACGTCACGGAGTTGCTTCTGAAGCGCTTCCCTGGTGCCATAAGTGCAGTCCAGCTCGATGTCCTTGGCCTGCAGGCGCTTCTTGTACTCCTGGATCTCTTGCTGGGTCGCTTTTAACGCCTCTCTCTGGCTCTCAGCTGCCTCTGTTAGCCTTGCAAACTGAGATTGGAAATTGTCTCCCTGCTGCTGGACTTCAGACACGGTATGACCTTCCAGTTGTGCCCTGATGTCCCGGAGTGCCGCAGTAATTCCGGAGTTTCCAAATGCATGCGCCTTGACAGTCACCTGTGCATCCTTGATTTGATCCATTATCTCTGACACCTCGGCTTCATGGTTTCCCTTCAGGAACTGGATTTCATCCACGAGAGCCTGCGCTTTCTTGTCCATCTGTAGTTTAGCCTGATACGCGTCATTAATGTCCTTCTTGAGGACCACGATATCGCTCTCTGCATCCGATCTGCTCCTCGCTTCCTGGTCATGTTGTCTCCTTAAATTGGACAGGTCTTCCTCAAAATTGTCGTGCTCGACTTCAATCTGATGCTTCTGATGAGTGATTTCCTGAAGCAGCTGCCTCAGTTTCCTGAGCTCTGGTCCATACTCTTCCTCCAGACGAGATGCGGGTTTCGCTTTCCCTCTTATCTCACCGATTTCTCTCTCTAGCAGAGTATTCTGGTACTGCAGGTGGTGCACCTTCTCTATGAATCCTGCGAGACGATCGTTTAAGCCATGCATCAATTCCTTCTCATTAAACTTCCCAGGGTTAGTCAAATCCATGCCGGTGGAGACGGCCCTGCTATCTAAGCCCGAACGTGTCGGCTTGCACTGTGAATACTCATCTTGAGCTTTCCGGTGCGGAAAGAGGAGTCTGTTCTCCATGCTGAGACTCAGGCTGTGGTGGTGTTTCTCCGCTGCAGAGGACGGGTTTTTATACCGACTCCATCTGCTCGGTGTGCAGAACAGAGCTGTCCGGAGTGCTGAATAGGTGAAGCATCAGCTGATGTTTAATGAGAGCTTACACCGCGATTTGTCGCAGAAAGCAGTGACGTGAAAGGACTGACCAACCTCAACAAAATAATGCTTCTGTACATTATTATTATTATTATTATTATTATTATTATTATTATTATTATAACTGTTGTTATTAGTATTGTTATTGTTATTATTATTTTTATTATTATTATTAGAGAGCGTTTGCATTGTTAAGATCTTTCATTTCTATAACTCTACAGTGTTCCACGACCAACCTGCTTTACTGCTTTTAGATGACGTCATTTAAAACACCACATACTTTTCCTTCACTTCTTACTGACTTCAGATCAAGGCTCACACCTCTTATAATAAATTGTTTAATACATATTTACATATATCCTGATGAAAAGCCGGAAATCAAGTCATGTGGTTGCACTTGGTGGTTAAGTTTTTGTTCCTCCAAAACTTTTCTTCAGTGTGTTTTGCTATTATTATTTATTTTCAGTAGGCTACATGTAGTCAGGTACTTTGTCACAATTGTTGTTACGCAGTGTTTGCATTTAATGCACAATAGGCTTCATATTGGAGGGAAATATTCTACATCAATATAATTTAACTCAACCACATATACTTAAATAAGTCCTACGAGCACTGCTAGACCGTATTTCCACTGTTTAAACAGTATATAAATATGAATGAATATACTGTTTATACCCCAGCAGTATATTCTAAGATGCTCAAACTGCTCATGACTTTTATTAAAAAAAAATCTACATCTAATTTTTCTGTTAAATCAGGAAATAATGACATGATGGCCAACATTTTAACATAAACCACTATAGTTGTTAAAAATGAAGTATGATTGTTATTTTTATTTTGCTTACAGTAATGTTTAACAGTAATCTCATTACACATTCTTTAAAAGCCTAAACTTGTATTTTCAGTATGTCTTATTGCTATTTTGATGTTAAAATTTGTGCTGTATAAAGGCTGACATGTTCATCACACTTTACAGTACTTAAATGTAGCTCTATAAAACATTTAATTTGCACTTTTACTTTACTCCACTTCTATAGCCTGTATTTTTTTAAATGTACAGTGTATTCTAGCTACAGACAGAGTTGATCACATCAGCCTGAAAACTAAACAAAATGTTTTATGTCCTTAACAAAGACATCCTCTATTTAAAAATAATTATATGTTGTTTTGTTACGATGCTGAGCTGAAGCACTCTGTATTGTCACTTGATGAAACTGTATTTATAGCTCTTTCATGATTGCTGTCTTTGTAAAACAGTGAACACAGAGAGGGAGTTGTATAATATGTAATCTGACGGATGATTGCTGTTGCAGACAAAAACATAGAGAAGGCAATATACTATCATTTTATTTATTTAGTAAATCTTAAGCAGGCCAAACATGGAACTTTTCAACTCATCATTTAGCGTTTAATGACAATGGACAGCCCGTCTCCCACAGGGAGCATGCTCAGATCGATCCTCTGGTCCTTGTGAAGCTTTTTATTGAGAGCATCCAGAGCCTGGGAGGTGAGGTCACTGGGAGCAGGGTTCACAACCTTTCCACTCCACAGCACCTTCAAAGACAAACACAACACTGCTGATTCATTCTGGTCCCAGTCTTAACATGCTGCACACCTTTAAATCCCACAGCAAGCTGCATCCTGCTTATGAAAAGTGTACTTACATTGTCAATGGCAATGATGCCCCCTGTTCGTATGAGCTCAAACGACTTCTCGTAGTATCTGTCATAGTTTAATTTATCAGCATCGATAAACACAAAGTCATATGTTCCAGCTTCCCCGACTGCAATCAGTTCATCTGATGAAACAGAGATATACATTTAAAATGTCCAAAGTCCATTTTCTTTGATTAAAAAAACATAACTGAGATGTCTACAAAAACATACCTAGTGTCTTCATTGCTATTTCATGGCGTACATCTATCTTATTTTCAACTCCAGCCTAGAGAAAAGGTTACATTATATGAGAGTTGTGCAGAATCTTTAATTGTTTTTTGAAAGAGAATGTTAGGCAAGGCTAAACAGGAATTGATTTTCCTGTTTGGGTGACACAGTTTCCTGAGCAGACACCTTTTTTATTCTCCAGCTGGCAACATTTTGTGAAGACACACTGACAGAAGGTAGATGTGCAGTCTGCTGTCTGCTGCACAATCTTGCTCTGACAGAAGCATCAATCAATCTCACTAAAGTTACAAATTCAAATGAGACACAAGCACCAGGCTGTACTGTGTCTTTTTTTATCTTGTGTTGAAGACTTGACGTAATATTCACAAAGAAATGTTCTCACCTCTTTAAAAAACGGTTTGGCGATGTCCACATAGGTTTCTTCTATTTCACAAGCTACTACGTTTCCACTTTGTGGCATGGCCAAAGCCATGCTCAGAGCATTGTACCCAGTGTACATCCCTGCAACAGAAATGTGAAGTTAACTCCTGAATAATATCCCTTAAAAATGATTCAAATATCAGAGGCTTCTATTGAAGCAAATAAAAACTTGTTTATATGAAAGCAACTGCATGCCCATATAAAGCATGCAATCCTAACTTACTGTCGAAAATTGAGTACAGTTAAATTCACAGCAGTAAATCAATATCTATATAAATCGATGCAATTTAAATTCCCCTCTTGAGAATCTAGAGTAGGCAAATTCAGGATGTGCCATTTACAATTTGTGCTCATAACACTTTTAGACACTTATTAAAGTTGTTTGAATGCAACTGGTCATTTTAGGACCTGTAAATCCAATTAAAAATGTTCATCTTAATTTCAATAGCAAAATCTTACTTACTTAATCATCAAACTTAAATCATCAATTGAGCCTAAATAGAATTGACCAAATCTCTGTGCTTTCAGCTCATGTTTTGTCATACAATCACAAAGATAGCTTTCAGAATAAGATGTTTTGCCATAGACTCTGAAGCAATAATATACTCATAAATACTGTTGACTTTATAGTACAGAGTAATATGTATTTGATTTTCAACAGTAAGAATTTACAAAAAACTTGATTTCACAATCAGATGTTCAGTTCCAATAAATATGACCCTTATTGCTGCCATAGTCTAGATTTGATTATCTCACCAATTTCAATGGCTTTAGTTGCATTTATCAGTCTTATAAGATTTGCCATAAACTGAGCTTGTTCACTGGCAACCATCATGATGCTCCATGGGTCCTCAAGGGTTTTCTGAAAGGAAAATATCAAACTATGTAATAAACAGTTGATCATGATTCATTATATTATCTGGCTAAATGGATACACATCTCCTGGTACTACTCAGTCGCTGTTTGGGGGTTTTATGACACTGTGCTGCCCTCTGGTGATCTTTTAAGTGTATTACTTGGAGACAGAAATGATATACAGCACTCTGGTAATTATCTTTAAATGTATTGTATTTATATAGAAAGTAAAGAAAATAAATGTGACACTTAATGCACAATGAACATATGCAATTCTAAGCAGGTTTGTCTTCATTTTCTTTTTAAAGGTATCTAGTTTCAAAGTTTGATTAAAGTAAAAACTTCAAAGTTAAATCATTTTTAGTTTTTAGCCCAAAGCTCTTCTTGACGACCAACCAACCATCGTCTGAGCTAAATAACCGGCTGATGGCTTCAGCATGTTGATAAATCTTGGCAGGCTCGTGCTCATGCTAAACTAAAGTGATCAAAAATAATTCTGAACTGAACCTGTCATGGGAATCAAATGTAGAGATAAAAACTTGGATGTGACCGAAGATCGTTGACCTGGTCAGGGGCATAGCAGCATCAGAGTGAAACACTAGACAATGCAGGGCTATCTTGCTTGGACAATAAGTGAATTACTATGCTTTCTTCATCTCAACAGGTGACACCAGATTGTGAGGGTTTGTTGTTTCTCTTACCAGTCTGAGTTTGGTGAGGACTGGGTGCTCTCTCAGTGAGTTGTTGACGATATACTGCAGCACAGGATCATCCTTCCCTCCGCTGTGACTCTTCCCGATGAAGGCAGACTTTCCCACACCTGACCGAGGAGAACCAGAACAGAAGCGACTGTTACCACGACCCAAGAAATGTCTCTCCTCTGCCAGATTATAAACAAAACCACCGACTCATACTGTACCTGTTAGTACAACAGCAAGTCCAAGGAAGAACATTGTTTTGATATCTATAGCCATTATGTTCTCGGATCTGGCTTTGATGAAGAAATGTTGACCAGCTTTACTTTAAATCCACTGAAAGTCTCTGTCAGTCCTATTTATACAGTACATCCTGTGTTTGCTTTACCTAATCTGTTGGGAGGAAGCCTACATTTATTGATTTTCCGGATATATTTCAAAAGTGGGGATGTTTTAGAAGAAAAACAACAGTTGTTTAAATCAAAAGGTTAAATTGATTAAATAACTTACACAGTAAAGTATCATGAGAAACACTAGCACCAACACTGAACAAATTGTATTGAAATGAGTTTGTTATTCTTTATTAGCTGAATCTCAAAATATTGCAGTGGCTATTTTGCAATTCAAACAAGCGCACTTTGGACTATTTTATCTGTGTTTGATGTTCTCACAGTCTTGCTGAATGTCCACTATTGCTCAACAATGTATTTCTCTACAACTCATTGAATAAGAACTTTTGTGTATTTCACCAGACAACACTTTCCAAACTTTGTAAATGTCCTGCGAGTTGACCACAAAACATGGAAGACACTCTAATAAAATTAGTTTCAAATGGAAAGCCAGACTCTTTATTTCAGTGTTCATAAAGGTTTCATACAGTATTCAATGAGAGGACCAAAGTTCTGACTGCTTATTTTACAAATGAAATGTGTTTGGTGTAGAGAGAACTAATGTGTGTTTGAAGGTTTAATGTAAAATACTGCCCCCTTGTGGTAAAAGGGTTTATATCAATACATAGCTTTATATTACACTGAAACAGCCGAAAAGTTGACTTTAATTAAATGTATTACGTTTTTTGAAAGCAATAATATTAAGTTCAACCTAATATATTTTACTTTAAACGTAATATTATTGCTTTCACCTAACCTAATACAGTTATGTGAAATCTGTTTACACAATACATTTAATAAAAGTCAACGTTTCAGTTCTTTCATTGAATATTTAATTTAGCTGAGACTTTTATCCAAAAGGACTTACAATAAGTGTCATACAGAACACAAACTCGCGTAAAATGCAGATATATTTGCTTTAGGGAAGCAACTAAAATGAGGTCGATCTGCCTCTTATTTTCCAATGGTTAATTTATCATATTTATGTTCGGAAATATAAATACTTACATTTAAAGTAATTAAGGCAATCAAACGCTTTAATTGTTTTGAGTTTAGATAAGGTTTACAGTGTGTGTAACTGATATCAGTGAGTTAGCTGACTAGTGCTTATGGAAACAGCTTCTGTTTGACATAGAATCCGGACACAAAGAGAAAGAGGTCAACGTGCACTATACTTAAATATGTCCTTAACTTTGAAAGAAGTTAAAATACTATTGTAAAGTCAGAGTCTAGCAACTTGTCAATGGGGGTATGGGTATGTAATTGAAAGACATAAACCTATTCATACCTATTATTTTAGATTTGTAACCATGTTTTCACTTGGTAGAAAACATTTATGTCGTGATTTATTCAACATTTGAAATATTCTTTCTCATCTGTAAAATGTAATGAGCCCAATGTTTTGCAGAGCACTAGTAGAGTGTTTTTATGAGCCACACTTCAGATCGCGTAGTCTTTTAACATCAAAACGGAAACGGGGAAGACGGTAACCAGGAATGTTCAAAAAGGGATTTTGGGGATGTGAGTGGGATGCGAGGTCTCTCCAAGGACACAGAGCTTCCTCTGTCTATTCCCTAACTAAGAATGCACAGATGCAAACAATAACACGCCGCCGACATGAACGCATCAATTAAATGAGCCATGACATGCACACTGTCTCTAAAGATTGTTTTTTAGATGTGACGAGGAAGAGGAAAGAGATCTCTCAGAGTGCACACACAGTTCTGATAAGGTCCTCTTGCGAAAATGAGATGCCGTGTTTTTCCAGCATCCCTCTCTCTCTCTCCAGCTGCTTTAGGCCTCTGCTTATGTGACGCTAATTGTTTCTGCTACTTGTGCCAAGTACCTACTCTTCCCCAGCACATTCTACAGACAGGCCCTGGTCCCTCAGCTGCTTTTTGTGTCTGTTTAAGGAATGAAAAAATGTGTGCTGCCATCTGCAGCGAGCACACCACTGTTCCTCCTCCCGGCCGTGACTGTCAGAGTGCCACAACGATACACATCCACACACTCTCTCAGAGGTAGAAAAAACTATGTGGTAGAGGAACAAGAAAACATAACTGACACATACAACTGCTAATATGAAACAAAATAATTCAAGGGGTTCCTATTTTGATCCATTTAGCGCATGGGAGGGAAGACATTGTACAATGTGAAAAAAAGGCTTTTAAATTATGCAAATAATATATAGATACGAGAGCGATTTAAAACCGATACCCTTTAACTCGTATGTGCCTTGTCTTTGATTTTAAAGCGTTGTTGAGAAACTCCTGAAATAAGTTCACAAAATGTATGAAAGCTTTAGGCCTCTCGGCACTCGTGAGGTTATCCAAGCTGCATTGCCTTGGATTTTAGTACCTTCAAGTGAACAGCAAGTGGCAGTGTTGTTTAGCTAATCCACAGTCTCTTCCACACACAGGCTGAGGCACAAAGAGAGCCAGGCCTTCACTCCCCTGTCTGGGAAGTAATATCACTTTCCTCTTGTTGAATTGACCTGTGACACCCTCACAGAGTACACAGAGCGACACATATTGACATGCTTGTAATGCCACATGGCTGTTACATCCTCCATGTGTTTATCAGGGGGAGGCTGCTTGTGATGCACTCTAATAACAGCAGTCAGTTTGGCACCGTCTCAGCAGGCAGATAAGAACGCATGAATATTAAGTGATGCTAATCACAATGGAGAGACCAACGTCAAAACGACTGACAGACATTTTCTCGGCATTCAATTGACATCCTCAGACTCGTCTTCTGTCTGACAGCAGCATCTCCCAACATGACAAGTTTGTTTAAAGCTTCCGGAGGAGGCTCGCTCACGTGCACACGCACCAGTACACACCATTACAGATGCATCGACACTGATTTTACTCAAACTGGGCCACAGTGCTGCTTTGCAAGACCCCAACGAGTGTTTCTCACCAAAGAGCATTGGTTTATGTAGGCCACTTGGAGAGTTGCAAAATGTAGATAAGGATATAGCAAACATATTCCCCATAACTGCTTTTTTAAATCATGGAAAACTGGATTTATCGCTGCTGTATTAAACTACAGCGTATTTTGGAGCGTGAATGTTGAGGATAAGCCATTCAATTCATCATCCTCTCTTTGTGTATTCAAGCCGTACAGAACAAAACAGAGGATCTGCTTCAGAAAATGAATGGCAGGTGCGGTTGTTTGACTTTCAAATCACCTAGGCATCTATTCTATTAACCCGGCGTGTAAATAAATACATAATTCAATTTCCATGGAGTCACACAATAAGTTGACAGTCCTCAAAAAGATCAAACAGGCTGCTCCGGGGCACGTGAGCCTCGGTGAAAAAATCTTGGCTATATGAAAGGTGTTGACACCTTGAGCAAGCCACAAGAAGAGACAAATGTCATATCCTGAGAAACAATTACGAGGTGAACCTTTGCTTTTTAAGCCAGCAGGTCTCCCAGCTATATCATAGTGTACACACTGGAGCTGCTCCCACAACACAACACAGGGCTTGTCAGTCACTTTCAGAAGAAATATGCTCTGTTTCTGTAGCAGTATTGAATACTTATATTTTAACTGCCCCATTCCGCTTTAACAATGAACTTCCTCCATTGTTTTGTACGCAGAAAGTCACATTTGTATTTGCTCATCATACTCTCTGTTCCTGTCCAGAGTCACTTCATACTTCCTTCCTATTAGTCTCACTCTCATCTGACTGCCGTGTCCCATTGTGACCGCACTTAAGGCGCTAATGATAATGTTATGACCCAGACCAATTTGCCATGGCAATAAGACTCGCTTAATTGAGTTGATTATAAGCCCTCTGTCTGCGATGACCCCTCCGGACTCAGAAATAGGGAGCAGAGAGAGAAAGAGAGAGGGAGCATGTGGCTGCAGGGGAGGAGGCTTTCTCCGGGCATTCCATCACTGTGCAGGAGACACATGGGATATGACTGTTTGGAGACATGAGCACACGCATATGTGTGTGTGACAATTCTTCATGTGTGGGGTGTTGGGAGATGGCGTGTTGGGAGAGCAGGCCTTCAGGGAGGTGTAAAGGAGGAGAAGGGTGGGACAGTGGGGCTTCGGGGGAGGTTGGGCTTGGGGTTCAAAATCACAACACAGCCACTGTAATAGACCCGGACACAGACCACATCTGAAGTTAATCCAATCAGGGGAAAGCATGGCGCTCCCATCCGCTCAAGACACACAAACATAAGGTCAAGAGCAGCTTGTATTAGCGCGATGATGTCAGGGAGAAGTGGGGTGGTTAATTGACTTTCAGCGTGTTTAAAAGGCTAAGAGAGATACAGAGATGAAGGAAAGCAGAGGGAAGGCAGCAGGTCCGAGCCAAGCAGATGTAAAGTGAAGGCCAAATTAGTCCGTTTTTTTATGGTTAATATTTCAGAGTAATTTCACCATTTGGCTGCGGCAATTATTTGAGAGCAGATGTTCATTATTGTTCTTGTATGTTCATTTATACAAACCCATACTGTATACTTTCAACCACTTATGACTAAGGCTGCATATTGAATCCAAATGATCTGATACAGTTTTGTATCTAGCAATGGGTGTTGAAAAATATATCTAGATCTCAAAAGTTTTGGTCAAAAATTGTTATCCTTACATTATTAAGTATTTTTTAAAGCTGTTTTTTTGTGTAGATGTTGGACAATTTTGTCTCCTTTTCATTAAATGAAAATATGTTTGTATTTTCCTAAAGGAATTAAATAATTTAGATTTCACTACCAAAATTCAGGTATCATACTGAAACTAACATATTAAAACTATTCATTTAAAAAAAGCCTTAACAATATTGTGCATTACTTCTGTGTTTGTTTCAATCTGTGATTAGGGTGTAAAGAGGTAAACTAAATAGAGGTTACCATGCAACATCTCAAAAGATAGAAATACATATTAGAAAACAGAACCAAAATAACTCTTGTGAAATGGAATCTTTTTTT